GTCCAATCGACCTCCGAAACGGTGATTTTTTTTTTAAATATTATTTATTTGCTGTTGAGTAGCAGTAGACACATCATAAATGTATAATGGGTTGCATACAATACTCGTATTAAATCGGCAGTAAAGTTCTACTTTACTGTCGATTTCTTTTACTTCATTGCCGATTGTTGACTACTTTACTCCCGATTTCGGATAAAAGTTAACTGTGGCTAGTTTTTCTTTAAAAGCCCTGTATAAGCAGCAATTTGCTGCCAGCAAATTAATATATGTTTAGGGTGGGAAGATAACACCAAATTGAAAACAGGTATCAACGCTGAAAATTTATCTAAAAATATCATCACTATACAGTGTAAAACCTTCCTTTTTGACAAACATAAAGTCAGGGTTCATATTAAGTAGCTAAAATATATCAACAGAAATTTAATAAATACATCAATCCAGTGCATTTAAAAGCAATCATCTTAATTAAACTACTTAAAGGCATAACAATGCGCTTTTTTGTATTTATTTTAAATAAGCAAGTACGTATAGTTGAAGTATAAATGACAATGGCTGGATATTTGTGTGTTGTGTTTGAAGTGATTACAAATCATTAGTCTTTGGTAACGGTCCTATTATCAGAAATCGGGAATTTGAATGGTAGGTAGGTACCGATGTGTGTTTGTTTGCTACTGACATTTGCATTCTCCCCTTATCAAAACAATCAAAGCAGCTACAAATTAGTCCCACTGTTGTTTAGATAACAATCTTGGTCATCCCTTACAATTAGAAGCGAACTTAAATTCTATTATAGAATTTCTATACAATTCCCATTTATTATTCGTTTTATTATGTAAGACAGGTCAAACCACAATACCTGTGTGTGGTTTTGAGATATTTTTACGACGCGAATTAAATCATTATAAAAATTAACGTGTGCGTGCTAAACAATCGATAAATCACACCTTAATTGACTATAAACCCAAATGACTTGTTTGTGGTTTTATTTATTTAAAATAATACCGTTGATTTAGCGAGAAAAAATGAGTTTTAAGCAAGTCCAGGTAGGCGTAGGGGTGAAAAGGTAATAAATATAAAAGTTAATTTGGTGGTGACGAAGTATTAAGCAGTTCCGGACGACAATTATTCTGCGAACATACCAAAACACATTGATCCAAAATGCAATTCTAGATAGACAAAATTCTATTAATATACTAAATTCCAGTTGTATATTCACAAAAATAACATTTTTTTGAACGGGTCGCCCTGTATATTTTTACATTTTTATAATTTAAGTAAATATTTTGTTAAATTAACCTTAAAAATTTACTTTGAAGTAAAACTTCTTTTATTGTTATTTAATAAGTTTTATTTATATTATTTTTACCTATTTTAATAACCCCTAAGTTTCAACACTTTAAAGTATTATGAGGGGCGTAATTTTTACGAAAGAAAATTACTTATAAGTGTATTTCACCTAAAGGAAAATTTAAAGGTAATTTTAACGTCAGAATTTTTACTTAATGGTAAATGTTACTTATAAGTAATAATTTTACGATATTTATAACCGTAAATAATTCCTATAAGCCTGGTATTTTTTAGGGTTTTTAGTGGTAATAAATACTATTAATATTGACTAAACAAGGAAAAATAAGTTTAAAGTGAAAAATAAAACTTTAGGTCGCCATAAGGAGTTTTTTATTATGGCATCAATTACTTATCTATTACTTATCTAAATATTTTATAATATTTTTTCATAAATATTTTGCTAAAATATAATAAGGAAAGTTTTAGTTATTAAAAAATGATTAAAACTAAATGAGATTTTATAAAATTTTGTAGGTTTTAATTTTTCTTAAAACCGTAAAATATTTAGAGGGCATATAATTTTTAAGATGTATCGTGCCTATTTTTATCAATAAAATAGTGTGCGTTTGAGTTTTAATGCAAAATATATATATATATATATATATAAATTAGTTTGACAATTTAAGTTATATTTTTTAATTTTACTCTAGGGTGGCCTTTATTACTTTGTACACTGTAAAAAATAATTAACACAAGTCTACACGCCCCAACACCAAACTGTGTTATTCCAAGTCCACACGAAATCGTGTAAAATTTTAACACAGCATTAGTGTGTTGATTTGTTTTTTAAATAGTGTAATAATTTACAAGAAGAATAATTAAACTTTAACACATTGTTTGTGTAATTTTTACACAACTTTAGGTATTAAATTTAACACCAGATGGTGTCATTCTTTAATATTTTAGTGTATTCAATTTTACACTAAATTGGATAGATAAATAAAAATTTATTATTTTATTTTTAAAAAATATTTTATAATTTCAATTAGACAAAATATTATATTATAATATTTTTATATAAAACAAATTATTAAAAACATTTAAAAAAAGTAATTAAGGAAACAAGATCATTTTAATTGTTTAAAATTTACTTACCTAAAAAAGATAAAATGCCATGTGTTACTGGCAAATTTGCCCTATGTTTCCTAAATTCAAAGTTTAAATTTCATATTACATATAAAGGGGTAAGAAGCAAAAGGGCAAATTTTATACGATATTTGTTAAAATGTACACAACTTTGTGTAACATTACATGCACGATATTTATTAAATATGAGTTTATAACACATTAACGTGTAAATTAACAAGTGGTTACACGTTTTAGTGTTGATTCCCAATTTAGGAACATTCGTGTAAAAGTATTTACACGATTTTTACACATAATTTACACAATTTTAACACAAAAAGAGAGAATCAACACAATGATATTTTTTGCAGTGTAAGTACCATTTTGTAAAATATAAATTAAAAGAACAAAGAAATTACAAATGTCAATGTTTTAGAAAGAGAGAGCAAATACTTAGTAATTATAGCATTATTTTTACGTAAATTTGTGGTATTTATATTGTTTTTATTACGTTATTCTCTTAGTAGATCAAAATGGTTATTATGTAGGTAAAATAACGAAATAAACCATTTCCCAAATTTGGTAATTTTTCGTATCTATATTGTTATAAAACCGTTTTGATTAACTGTAAAAAATACTTTAAAGTTGACTTAGTAGTTAATTTGTAGTTATTTAAACTTAAAATGCTGATTGGGAATTCTTTATTTTTAAATTTAGGGTAGTTATGCAATAATCATTTTTTTATTCCAAATTAAATTATCTTCAAATTGTAAAAATATACAGGGTGCCCCATTTAATTTATTTCTATTTTGGCGAATATTCCGGATACCCGACGTTCAATTGTTTTTCTGTTTTCACTGTTTTAATAAGAAGAAAAAATGCCACCAATTTTCTAGTTTTGTTTCATTTTAATTTTTTTTCTCGTCCCGATATTATTTTATAGGTTGAAAATAATAAAAATTCTGTAAATTTCAAATCGATATTTTGATTTCTAAAGGTCGCTAAAAGTGCGTTAATATTTATATTCAAAATACTATTTTTAAAGTTGAAATCTTGAGCAAACATAAACATTTGAAAAGAAATATTAAAAATTTGAAATTGTATAAATTCTGCATAATTTGGATTTTTTAAATGAAATTTGAAATTTGTCAATTTAAATTCTGCTTGCGCAAAACTTGTTTATTTAATGTCTTTATTTATAAACTCATATAAATTTGGTGTAATTAGTTCTCAAATAATGTGAAAAAAACTGAATATATCCCAAAACCTAAAAGTAAGTTTTATCTGTAAACATAGAAATTTATCTACATTTTCTACATAGGTTATGGCGGACATTATAAAAACAAAAGATGGCGATGGTAACCCAAAACAAAATAGAGAAGAAATTTGATGAAAGTGTAGATTAATGGGTAAACTCACGTTTTTTTTTAAATTTCCAGTATTAACAAAGTTTTAACGGTTTATATATATATTTTTCAAATACGAGGTGTGTTCAGAAAATAACGGGAATTGTTAAATTTCGCGGGTTCGGAGGGTCCGATTGTCATAAAATTTTCTTTATTATGTTGGTATACATGCCCCCTAAGTATGATAAAAACTTTAGCTGTTTTCATTGTTTACTTTGTCTGTGGCAGCCGCTAAGATTAGACGTGTTTTATGAGCTCGGCGATTTTTCGTTCGTTAAAAGAAATGGATCAAATAATTTGTATCCAATTTTGCTTAAAAAATGAAACAAATTCTGTGAAATGTTAACAAAGGCCTATAGTAAGTCTGCTATAAGTAAAACAAGAGTTTACAAGTGGTAAAAGAGTTCTCAAGATGGCCGTGAAGACGTTGTAGATGACGAACGCCCCGAACGCACAAGCACATTAACAACCGATAAAAACATGGAAAAAGTGGAATAAATGGTTATAAACCATCAGAGAAGTCGCTGATGATGTTGGTATATCGATTGGCTCATCCCATGAAATTTTTTCGAATGTTTTGGGTATGAAACGCGTGGCAGCAATATTTGTTCTAAAATTGTTAAATTTTGAACAAAATTTTTGGCCAAAAACAATACTGTAATGATGCCCCAGCCTCCATATTCGCCAGACATGCCTCTGTCTGATTTTTTCCTATTCCCAAAAATAAAGAGAACCTTAAAGGGCCGTCGTTTTGCAAGCATAGATGACATTAAAAGCGCATCGCTGAAAGAACTAAAGGCTATCCCAAAGATCGAGTTTTAGAAGTGTTTCGAGTATTGGAAGAAGAGCTGACACATGTGCATAATATCCATTGGGGACTATTTTGAAGGCGACAACATTAATGTAGGCGAATAAATAAATATTTGTTTCAAAAAACGAAAATTCCCGATATTTTCTGAACACACCTCGTATTTTGAAAATCGATGGATTTTTAACCAACATTTTAAATAAAAAAACAATAGCCGTTGAAGTATAAACAAAAAAAACATTTTTAAAAATGGGCAAAAAATTATTCATCAAAATATTTTATATAGGTAATAATTCAGTTCGCATATAATCTGTAAAGCTTATGGATGAAATAGACTTTTATCTATGTAAGTTTGCAAATTGAAACACTGTGCAAAGTCGAGCATATGCACAGTAAATCCAATGCCATAACATGTGCCGGTAGAAAATAGACCGGGTCTGGTAAGAAGCCTAAGCATTTAGTTGGAATTGTCGGCCCGTACGAATCGCATAAGTTGCTTTCCCCGATCGGCCAGAATACAGGCCAGACCCGCGACACGAAGCATCGACAGAAGCTCCAGCTGAAGCGGCACTTCAGCCATCCACCCACTCCAAGGAAAGAACGGAAGGAAGCAGCCAGCGAACGTCTTGCTGCCAGCAGTCCTAGCCCATCGCCCATTTCCATACAGTACCTTCCTAGGCGCGCGTTCGGTACCCGCATCGAAAAACTCGACGACGTTTTTGATCAATGAACAACAGTGTGCCCGTGTCCGTGTGTGCATTTGTCTGGACAACAAACAGTGGCGGCAGTGATTTTAGTTGTCAAGCTTTCAGGCCATCTCGATTTTGCTACACACTAATGGGTAAGCGCACCATTTGTTTTAAGTCCACAATTAAGCCGCAATTAATGTAAATTGCAATTGATCGCTGCTTTGCTCTCAAGAACCAAAGCCAAGCAGTAAACAAAGCTGAATCTGTACATTCGCGAATATGTATTTTTAGCGCGCTACTTTTAACCGAAACTTTTTGCTGTTTTTCCGCTCCAGCCGTAGGATGCACGTTGTTTTGTCACTTTCTTTAATGAACTGTTAAATAGTTTACATTAAACAATCTAAATATTTACCACACATAAACCCCTTTTAAATAACTACAACATTAATCACTGCGTTTCCTAATTCCACAAGGAAAACAAATAAAATTACTGCGTCCGTCATTTTTCAAATTACTTAGCGAAATATTAAACGCAGGTAATTGTCAGTTACGTTAATTTCCATCGCACATCAAAATCTGAGATTTTAATATATGAGCCTTCGTATTTTTAGAAGCAAAGCCGTTTTCGTTTTATTAATATCACAAATATAGTTTACAGTATTAAACGGCTATTTTTAGAATTATGGAAGAAAAATATCGAATTTTATATGCTAACTTAAATACCAAAGTAAATTTCCAAGAACAACCAATAAGTGTAAACAAGAACACCTATTTTAAACACATCCGTTTCAACTTCATATCGCCAAAATAAAGTTTATCGGAACAACTATTTGTCGAGATACATTTGGTAAACAAAAATCACTTAGTCGATTGGACGTATCACTAAATTCACCAAAGTATGACTAAAGATAGGTTATCCACTTTTTAGCATTAGCTCATTGAAAACAAAGCCTGCTAATATTCAATATTGGCAGTTATTTATAGTGCTGCAAAAATGATTATTAATATGCACGTGGTATTGTAGGCTGTATCGAATCGAAAAAATGACATGTTACGATAAAGAAAAATCAACAAGCAAATTTGGGATTGTATGTACACAACAAACACACGATAATAGATAGATAGATAGGTATAAGAAGTTGATAAGATGAGGCAATAAAAGTGCAGAAATAATAAGTCATAAAATAAGTAAAAAAGTTAATGTGCTTGATGAGAGAAAAAACTTACATTAAGAAGGTAGACGGCATAGACAACAAACTACGCAGTCTGCCCACAGTTTGTAGGCATTAAAATAAATTAAAACCAGCCAAATTCATAAAATCCACAAAGTTCGTTCTGTTTATTGAAAATCGTTTGAGTGTTTGTTTGAACGTTAAAAATAAATTTATTGTGTTAACAATTAACCACCTTGTATATTTATGAAACAACTAGTTACGGTTTACAATTAAATAACAACAGGTACATTGTTAAATGGTGCGCTGTTTAAATGTTTCGGGATGTGTTGTTTCAGCTGTCTGGATCATTATTTCTGGTAAACCTGACTTAAAGAAACAATATGAGGTTTATGAGAAATCAAATGAACTGCTCGGTAATTTGATACTCGTGGACATGGTTTCTAATTTTAGGGCATGTTTTCGAACTGCTTAAAAGTCAGCCAGTCTGTCTGTATGTCTATGCAGAGTATAACGCCACATTCTGTTTTGGTCAACACAAAGCAGATGCGTATAAGCTCTGGAAACGTTTAAATTAACCACGAAATTTGATTTGATTACTTTCATTGGGAATTGGATTGGCGTAATAGGATAGACATACTGTAAGTAGCGACAGCAGCCTTAGCCACGTTCGGACCATCGTCAAAGACCGGATGTAAGTTAACAGGCAATTCGAATCTTGGAGGTTCTTTCTTATTAAGATGCAACGCGTCGTATCAACATTTCTACATGTTTAAAATAGCGCTGCTTAGTATGCTTGCAGTATTATAGCACCGATACCTTGGCGTATTAAAATTCTGATAACAATAGACACTTCGTAAATGATAAATTAAAAATTCCAAACGCACACTTCGGGCCTTAAAGCGGCCCGTTGATTTATTATGTCCGGTAATCCATTATTAAAATCCCACATATTTAATTTGACACCGCAGATTTTACCGTTTTTACAAAATTTGTTTGTTTGTTTGTTTACCAATGCAACCTATGTCTATTTATTATGGTGTAGTTGACATTTTAATTAACCTTCATGAAATCACCACAGTGATATTTTCAAGAAAGCAAGTCCTACCACCTACACTTACAGGCAAAATAATCGATCCACACAAATTTTCGATGACTTTCAATCGCAAATAACGAATATTAAAGAATATTGTAGATAAATTAATGGACAATCGCTCACATTTTAAAAAATTACTAAAAAATAGACGTACGTTTATAATATACAGGTTTAAACAAAAATATGTTTTTTACCATAAGTTTAAGATACTCTGTAGAGTGGCAAACCGTATATTGTTCTAAATTAAGTTTTATTTATCAAGTCACATCTATTCTTAACAGTTTTGTTTTTGGTTCACCTCGATATATTTATTTTTGTGGAAAATATGGATTTAAAAAAAAAACATTGCAATTTCCAATATTTTTCTGTATGAAGAACTAAGGTTGCTATGGTCCATCCATAGGCTATGGAGAATGACAGTGACAGTTTTGTTGAATCATCCCATACTTTGACATGTCATACACGGCTTTCAAAAGCTATCAAATTGTTTTTGCAAATTAATGTTTAAATTTTGAGGTGTCTTCTTACTTTAAAAAATTGGATATGTCTCCGACTGATGTTGCCAGAGCCATTAATTTAATCCAGGATGGACGGTTACAGTATTACGTAGCAAGTGTTTTAAACGTCACAAGAAGTAAAGTACAAAGGGCAACATCAGTCGGAGACATTTTTAAAAGTAAGAAGACACATCAAAATTAATACATTAATTTACAAAAAACAATTTGATAGCTTTTGAAAGCTGTATATGACATGTCCAAGTATGGGATGATTTAACAAAACTGTCACTGTCATCCTCCATGGACCAAAGCAACCTTAGTTCTTCATGCAGGAAAAATATTGGAAATTGCAATGTTTTTTAAAAACATCCATATTTTCCACAAAAATAAATATATCAAGGTGAACCAAAAACAAAACTGATAAAAATAGATGTGACTTGATAATTAAAACTTAATTTAGAAGAATATACGGTTTTGCCACTCTACAGAGTGTCTTATGGTGAAAAACATCTTTTTGTTTAAACCTGTATATTATAAACGTACGTGTATGTTTTAGTAATTTTTAAAAAGTGAGCGATTCCCCATTAATGTATCTACAATATTCTTTAATATTTGTTTAAATCCGAAAACAAATAAAAAAGTTATTTGCGATTGAAATTCATCGAAAATTTGTGTGGATCGATTATTTTGCCTGTGAGTGTATTTTATCTTGTTTAAATAACTATCAACGCATCAACCTCAATTTACAAGACAATTTACATTATTAAAAGACACACTTAACACAAATAACTCTTATTTACAAATAGGCCAATTTAAATAAATTACATCCACCTTTAGCGATAAGTAGTGCATAAAATATAGTCAAAACACCAAAACAAATAAATCCATTTGGGCAATCAAACTCTGTAGAGGTGTATTCAATTATCTGCAAAATTAATTGTCAATATGCATTGATCAATCGGATAAATCGTATCTAATTCTGTTTTGGCACGATTTCTTCGTTTATACAACACTGAATGAAAATTTAAGCCTGCCAGATTTGGACAGCATAAAAAAGATAGTAAAAATTACACTGAGCACTATCTATATCTATGTTTGTGGGCACGAATTCAATGAAATTCATTGTCAAAATATTAAAATTGGATGAAACTGAGAGATAATAGACATACGGTTAGAATGTCATTGTTCAGTCAGTACCTTAGCGCGTAGGCTTTAAATTCGTTAACGAAACCTTTAAAACACTGAATAAATAATAATATTTCAAACGGATGTATTCTCTACACACCGAAAGATTGAATTTTAAAAAATAATGCCGTGATGCGACGCCGCGCGACTACAAAGTATTTTAATTACATCCTATCACCGCCTGTAAAGTATTCGGGCAAAATAAAACATACTGCACATGTGTGCAAAACACTGATTTTCAGTTTTAACAAGGGTTTACGCCCAAACTTCAGTCTATTATAAAATTAAAAACATACTCGTATATACCGCATATGGCGTTTAAGTCACGGGCTGAAGTTAGCAACAGTAGCTTTTGGGCATTTTAGTCACAGGCTGAAGTTGGCCTTATTATAAATTTGGAAAAAGTAAGGTTGACAGTTGTCAAATATTTAACATTTAAAATTGGCTTTAAATTCTTCTTTGTGTTCGTCGTAGATGCAACTCGTTTTATAAACTTCTCTAGACACTCGTTTTTATTAAACACTCGCTTGCAAGCTTCGCTCGTGCCTAATAAAACTCGTAAACAAAATGGCTTTTATAAAACCTAATATACTATTTTCTACTACCCCATTAATAAGCTGTGACTTTATGGCGTTTTAGTCACGGGCTGAAGTTAGTTTTATTATAGATTAGAGAAAAGTGAGGTTAAATCCGTTGACATTTTTCAGATGTCAAATGTTTGAAGTTGGCGTTATTATAAATTTGAAAAAGTAAGGTTAAATCCATGACAGTTGACAGTTGTCAAATATTTAACATTTAAAATTGGTTTTAAATTCTTCTTTGTGTTCGTCGTAGATGCAACTCGTTTTATAAACTTCTCTAGACACTCGTTTTTATTAAACACTCGCTCGCAAGCTTCGTTCGTGCCTAATAAAAGTCGTAACCAAAATGGCTTTTATAAAACCTAATACCTTATATACTATTATCTACTACCCCATTAATAAGCTGTGACTTTATGGCGTTTTAGTCACGGGCTGAAGTTAGCTTTATTATAAATTAGAGAAAAGTGAGGCTAAATCTGTTGACATTTTTCAGATGTCAAATGTTTTACAAATAAAATTGGCTTTAAATTGTTTTGTGTGTTCGTCGTAGATAAAGTATAGTATGCAACTCGTTTTATAAACTTATCTGGACACTCGTTTTTATTAAACACTCATTCACAAGTTTCGTTCGTGCCTAATAAAACTCGTAACCAAAATGGCGTTTATAAAACCTAATACATAATATACTATTATCTACTCCTACAGTGTCCTTATGGCATTTTAGTCACGGGCTGAAGTTTGCTTTACAGTTTGCTTTACAGATGTCAAATTTTAGGGTTTTAAAATTTTCAGAAAAATTGAGCCGGCGGAAAATAACGAAAAATTGGGAAATTTCCAGAAAAATTGATTTTTCATTTTATTCAAATATACGAAAAAAATGCAAAAGTCAATTTTTCAAAAAAAAACTCAAATTTTTACGGATGATATCCGTATACTGAAAAAAGTGTATTTCCGACTATAATCTTAATATTATATTATTATATTATGATTATAATAATTATTCCTACTATTTTAATTCTTAACTTAACTTTATAAATCATTCATTATTTTGTTAATGGGCTTTTGCAAAAAGGTTCTAACCGACAGTACTTTAACGTTTATTTTCTTCGATTAATTAAATTTAGTTCATTGTATACTTTTATTTGTTTTTTTTCTGTAATAAAGTATATATTTTTAAATTAAAATAATGTTAAGTTATTGATTGCTACTTTTATTAAAATGTGTATATTTTCCCAAAAAAGACAATTTTTCAAGACCTGAGAAAAGGAAAAAATTCGTTTTAATTACTATTTGAACATAATTTTTTATAATACTATTTGTCGTGGAAAAAGTTGTTTTAAACACTAGCTCGCAAGCTTTGCTAATTAAACTTGATATATAATATACTATTTTTCTTCTCTATAAACTCGTTCACTAAACACCTGCTTGTAAGCTAAATAAAACTATGTTTATTTTTACCTAATATAGTATTAAAATAACTACACAAAAGTGTAGTACATTTATTTTTTTCCGAGCTTCCGAAAATTCCTAAATATTTACAATATGTTTGACTGTATGGATTTTATTGCTGTAGCACATGTACTCAGTTCATAAAACACCACTGTTCATATGTAAATGATACAGTGAACAAGTTTACTTTTATTTAGTGAAAAATCCCGACACATTCTAACAAATACTTATCAACATGTTATAAATCACTTAATAGCCTTATTTTGGGCTACTGAATCACTAAGAGCTTTTTAAAAAAGCGTTCAGCCGTCTTGATCCGACGCTGAATTAAGATTTATAACGATTCTTTGGCCAACTTGTATTAATTCTCGCATATTTGTTTAACAATTTATATATTTTTAGACAAATGACCTAATTTTAAAATCAAAGTCAAAGTTTGTAATAGACTGAATGCATCCTAAAACTCTTGAAGATAATCTTTTAAATTAAAATTAGCTTTACATTACACCGGAGGTAAACTGAGATAAGGCTCTATACCTACTTATAATGACTGGGTCCTTACATAACCATAACCGTTTCCAAAGGGATTAAAGTTTATTAATATTAATAATACTATGAAACCCAAGAAGGAGGAAATGCCAATGTTCGCCAGATGATATCTTCCGTGTAAATATAATAATAAACAAAAGCACGGCCTAAAATAATGCGAGCGCACTTGTTAAAACATTTTATCGAAAAAATACCATCAGCATTTGAAAGATGGATTTTTTAAGCATATGGTGACCAGTGGGTCCCATGTGAAATGGCTAATGACTGCTCTGCACAGCAGGTAGATTCGTCATCTATTGGGGGCTTAGCTTGTGCTTGCTTTATGAGAATAGAGTCGACTTAAGTAAAAACAGGCACACGTGCGAGACACATGTGCAGCAGCCGCAGAGAATAAACGCAAACGCTGGAAGCATTGCCTGGCCAGCTTCACGGGCACAAACCTTACACGTATTTCCGTTACCTTTTCATCATGAAAAATACAACATTTATTTGTATGATTTAGTTTTCTAAATCTGATAATTGAGAAATTGTTTTTATCTTTCCAGGAAACTAAATCATGAAGGTTCACATCTGCTGTTTGGTAATTGCTATAAACGTTGTGACCATCACAGCCGGAACCGTCAAATTCGAAAAAGGTAACACAATAAACATTTATATTGGTTACTCGAAAAAGTTCTTACCGGTTTTCAACAAAAATTATTGTAAACATTTTTCGGGTAGAACTTTTGAAGACCGAAGAAAATGATATTCTGGAGGTGTTACTCCAACTATGCGTCCTTACTTTCTATAGAAAATTATCTCTGTAGAAATACGCAAATTTCAAGAAACACCCTAAAATGGTCTATTATTTATTTTTACAAAATCGGCGTGAACTTTTTTGGTTAACTAACACAAACATGAACAAGTAGCACAAATGGTTAAATAACTAGCACTCCAAGTAAATTAACCAAAATCTTAGTCAAAAAACGTTTTTTAAAACTTGTTTTTATCCAATTGGTTGTATTCTACCATTAACATTTTTTTAAGGTTACTATAGTACTATAGTTACTATAAATAAACCAAATATATAACTAAGTAGTTAGTAATATTACCAATAGGTTTCTTTTATTAGGTAAATTATACTAAAAAATAACCCTTTAACTTTACCAACCGGTTGCTATAACCATAAAGTTAATTCAAAGTTTATATTTTAGTATAATTTAACTAATAAAAGAAATGTTAGCTGCATACAAAATTATTCTCAAAAGAGCTTTATACGAGCCCTAACCACATAATGTTCGGACACTTCATAATTTATACAGAAATTTTTTTCGTGAATACTATCTCAAAATTATTAGAAGTTATGAAAAATTCAGCTTATTTTGGCATATACCCCTCGAAGCGATTTTTATTTTTAAAAAGTTTACCTTTTATTTTTAGCTTTTAAAAAAAGGCTAACTTTTTAACTTTTTTTTGCATGAGTAAAAAAAGTTATAAATGGGCCCATTAAAAAAGAACATAAAATATTATACAAACCCTGAAAATTTGGTAAAAATTGTATAAATAATAAGAAAGTTATAGCGATATATATATCTGCAAAATCTCCCGTTTCCTAAGAAAATTGCAAAAACTCTTTAAAAATAGCATTTTTAAATTACTTATACTTTTTTATAACTTATTTATTTTTTACCAAATTTTCAGGGTTTGTATAATATTTTATGCTCTTTTTAATGGGTCCATTTATAACTTTTTTTACTCATACAAAAAAAAGTTAAAAAGTTAGCCTTTTTTTAAAAGCTAAAAATAAAAGGTAAACTTTTTAAAAATAAAAATCGCTTCGAGGGGTATATGCCAAAATAAGCTGAATTTTTCATAACTTCTAATAATTTTGAGATAGTATTCACGAAAAAAATTTCTGTATAAATTATGAAGTGTCCGAACATTATGTGGTTAGGGCTCGTATATAAACCTATACGTTGTAACTTTTCAGTAATAATGAAGCCTAAAAGAAATAATTTAAAAAAATATAGACTTTCTTTAAATTACTCTAGAAGAGTGAACAAAGTTGTAAATAATTATGTAAATCTTAAAACACTCCCCTCACATTTAATTAATTTGGTAAGCATCTATAGGTTTTATCACAGAACAAATGCGTTTTATAAAAATAAATTTTTATCTTAAAATAACAAGTTGGTTTAATTTAACTAATTTTGGTAATTATTTACTACACTCAGAAAAATGTACATGCACATAATGAAACTAATTTTGTACCACCTAAGGTACTTTTTTTATTAAATTTACAGTGTCTTATTGGGACCAAAACCAAAAAAATTCTCATTTACTATAATAAAGCAGCAATGTTGAGAGCTTATATAAAAAAATGTTCATCCAACAAAGTAATAGTTGATATCATATTGTCATGGCAATAAGAAATACTTTATGTTTGTCGAAATGTTTATGTTAAATCTATAGTTGCGTTTGAATTGCGCTTACATAAAGTAATGGGCAGTTGTTATAGTAAAATTTGTTCATTTTACTATAGCATATTTGTGTTTTTTAAATTACTATCGTTGTAATTCAAATTAATTTTATTTCAGTTAGAAAATCTTTGTTAATAGCTTACGTCAAGAACAATAACAAAAATATATTATTGCTATAAAAACGCTTTTTTAATATTTACTATTGTTTTGCAATGATAACAAAATTTTTGTTATTTCCCTTAAAAAGAGGGGGAAAGGGCCAGCCCTCTCCTTCGTGAACATAACTTTATAATCCACAGTCTGTGGTAATAATATTATATGATGTACAAAATAATTTTATTACAATTAGGGTTACCAGATTCTGTCAAAAAAATCGGGACATTTTGTATAAATTTACCTTAATTACAAAATTGACATAATAATACAATGCAAATTGTAAGTTTGACGTTACTTAATTATTGTTGATTGTGTCATTTTTGTAATTAAGGTTAATTCACACAAAATGTCCCGATTTTTTTTGTCAGAATCTGTTAACCCTGATTACAATATGAGTTTTTTTTTTTGATATAATAAATAATTTGTTTAAATGCCTTGCAATTATTTAAAAAAAACAACCCAACACCCAACAGTAGGTTGAATTAACAAGTAATTTCTTGTTAAATTTACATAAATTTAATTAACCTTATAAAAAAACCAAAAGGGATATGTAAAATTTAGAAAAATTTCTATGAATAATACCATTAGGGTTTCATTAATACTACAGAACGTTTTTGTAAACGGTTTAGAACTGTTTTTTGGACAAATAATAATAAATATATTTATCAATGCGTTTCTGCATCTGGAAGAGAGTTATTTTTATAAACATAAAGTAAATTTACTTTATAATTAATAAAAATGCTATTACTGAAAGCAGCGTTTGTAGATAAATAATTTTTATAAAATGATCTTTTTGTCGTAACAAAAGCAATTTTTACTTTATTTCTTATATTTATTAAACAATTTTCTGAGTGTATAATGTGTTACATTAACCAAATTTAAACCATATTTGGTAAATTTTAATTATACTCATGACTAATCAGAATATCAAAACATGACCTTAGTACAAAATCATTAGTTTTTAAGATATTGGCATTTATTTGAATATTGTGAAACTTGACACCTAAAATCAGTTTTTCGAGTGTCACAACCAAAAAAATTCTATATTCTTAGATTATATTTTATGTTGCGTAACCCTGAAAGGACTGCTATTAATTACAATTCAAAATTAAATTAATAGTAGATTTTGTAGCTGTGGCACTCGAAAAACTGATCTAAGGTGTCAAGTTTTACAAAATTCATAAAAATGACTATATCTCAAAAACTAACGATTTTGATTGTCTGCTTTGTCATGAGTTGGTCTATCAGTCCTCCAAAGGATATCGGTGACTTTTGGGACACCCTGTATATACAGTGTGTCGCACTTAAGATGAAGACACCCCCATATTTTCGCTATTTGAAGGAATAAAGGTTTGAATTTTTTCACATTCATACATGTTGATGGGTCACATTTTTTAAGCTACTCAACTGAAATCTGAACTTTAAACTTGGCCTACTACAAATTCACAACGCTTCGCGTTAGAGATATCGAAAAAAGTTATTGGAAAAAGTTGTTCAGAATATTATTCTAACCCCATAGACCAATTTTTATAACACAATTCGCATTTTTAATTTTTTTTTATTTTGGTCCACACAAAATTATTACAAGTTCATTTTTTAGTTTGATAATAAGGGAGCCATGGAAAGTAAAAATTTGATACTAACTAGTGTTTATGACCGTTAAATAAATAATTAAAACAATTTTTGGAAATTACAAATCAATTATAATTTATTAAATGAAGGAAATGGTATAAAACAATAATAAAACTAATAAAAATAAATAAATTAGAAATGCGAATTTTGCTATGAAAATCGGTATACGGGGTTAGAATAATATTCTGAACAACTTTTTCTAATAATTTTTTTCGATATTTCTAACGCGAAGCAAAATATCGACAACTGGCCCCGTTTGTGAATTCGTAGTAGTTTAAAGTTCAGATTTCAGTTGAGTATCTTAAAAAATGTGACCCACCAACATGTATTAATGTGAAAAAATTCAAATCTCTATTCCTTGAAATAGCGAAAATATTGAGGTGTCTTCATCTTAAATGCGACACACTGTATATACATATATATTCTATAGAGTAAAAATAAACTTAAGCCGGTTAAATATAGTTTAAGTTGACTTAAGAGTTAAAAAGGGTAAAATAAACCAAAAACTACCAAATATTACCTTATTTTTAACCAAAAGGTACAAAAGGTACAACGTTAATTTTACCAAAATTGAATTCCCCACGTATTACAAAATAACGTACATTTAAGGTTAATTTAACGTTGTAGTAAAATATTAGTTAAAAAAATTAACCAGGCTTAACGTAATTTTAACGTTAATTTAACCAGTTGTGCTACTTGGGTGTACATATCATCATCATTTCATCATTTTTATCATTTTGACACAGCTAAACATATATCGGCAAAAAAGGCGCCATACTTTTCGACACAACCGTTACCGGTGGTGATAAAAAAACCGCTTGGATCCGACGTACAGCTAAAATGCAAAGCCGAAGGCGTGCCCACCCCGCGCGTACGTTGGCTCAAAAATGCCAAAAACCCAGTTAAGGCGCAATCGAGAGATTGCCTAAATTTAAGGGGTTTAAAGGCGAAAGACAGAGGGAATTACACTTGTAAGGTGTGCAACGTCATGGCTTGCATACAGCATACATATCAATTGATCATTGATTACGGTCTCGGTAACATTCACAAACACACGCCAACACCATTCCTGTAACGTTGACGTTTTTTTATTATTTTAGATAAACCCGAACTTGTTTATGGCTTAACGGACATTAGCAAGCCGTCCGGGGCTAGCGCACAGTTGCTTTGCAAAACTAAACACGCAATCGATGTTTATTTGAAAAAAGGCGAGACAGTTTTAAATAGCAAGACCATATCCAAGGACTTAAACGACAATAACGGCGAAGTGACCGTTGAGTTCACCATTGACTCGTTATCGCGACAAGACGAGGGATGGTACAGCTGCGTGGCTAAAAATTCCGATAAAAACTTGATCGAGTCGAGAGGTTACGTTAAAGTGCTGCAAGTCGCTCCGTACTTTGATGGCGAGCCGGAAATAAAAATCGTGGAGAACGACAGCAAGTTTCAATTAAAACTGGACTGCAAAACGAACGGCGATCCCAAACCGATTGTGACCTGGACAGATCATGAAGTGTCCTGCCGAACAAACGAGCCCGGCCACTGTTTGCTCGAACTGAAGGATTTGGCCGAGGACGCCGAATATTCATTCACCTGCAAAGCATCCAACGATTTTGGCCAGATAAATCGAACTGTTTCGGTCGCCACCAATCAATTTAACCAAACAATTTACGCCGCCAATGGCAAATCGGTCAACCTCACTTGTCCTCAAGGAAATTTCATCAAATGGCATCACCTGGCCGACGACAAAAACCCAGATCGTCTAGTATTACAGGTAATTACTAATTTTTTTCATCATTTGCTTTGCTTCTGTGGGGTTATGTAAATCAGAAAAGATAGACTTGTTGAAGTTTTGATGACAATGTAATTTTTAACATTTACAAAACCCCACAGAAAACATCACACACTTCAGACTGGATGACTTGGTATCACCAAACAATTTATTGATGATAGTACAAGCCAAAACCAGAAAGTTTTTCCTCTATCATTTTGGCATTAGAGCTACTGTTTTTCAATAAAAAAATTATAATTTTTTTTTTGACAAAACCAGAAAGCCAATGGATGTCACTGACCCCTCCTATAAATCATCATTGTTTTTACCTCCAAAAGCAATGATATTATTCATCCAAGCAAAAAATAAACTGGCATTCGCACAGTGTGTTATGCAAAATCAAGCAAACTCGGTTAATAGTGATAATGATTTTGTGGAACACTTAAAAAAATAGCTACTTGAGCATCAATCGACGTAAAAAGTGAAAGGTGAAATTTAAAATCGACGGGAAAACCACGAAAACCTCGAGATACCTAAGAATAAAAAGTAAGTATTGTTTCATTCAAAGTACCTAAAAATAGCAGAGTATGCAAAACAAAAAACAATTATCAACAAAGTTATCAATGATAACACACATATAAATTTTTAATGAATGTAGGTTATTGTCCACTGTGCAAGCATATTTTGCGTCAAACAACCAGTGGCGGCCCAAAATTTTTACTTTACTTAGAGGAAAAACTTTCCTATTTTGGCGTGTACCATAATCCCCTAAAAGAATGACAACTTATTTTGTGACACCCTATATATATTTTGATTGGCGACAATTCGGTATTTATTTAAAAATGGACCAATTTTAAAAAAAATATTTTTAGTTTGTAGTACTCAAAAAAACCTTTTGAAGAAAAAATTTTCATGACATTTTCATGGCCCTTCAGGATTAATAAAAGGTCTCCAAAAACATCAAAAGTTATTTTTTAAATTTAAAAACAGATAGTGTTTGTGGATTTGGCATATAATTTATAAAAATTTATACAGGATGGTCAAAAAGCACGGTCAAATTTGTAAAAATAGTATATTGTAGAACTAATGTCATAAGACGTCATTTTATCGCACGCGACAATTTATGTAATGGACGAGTGCGACCAAAAGGTCTTATGACATGAGTTCTTTATGCTATTTGATCTATTTTGGAAAAATTCTATAAAACAAATTAATTTCATACCTTAAATTTAATTTGGTCGAATTTTACTTTAGATAGTTGGTATCACAGTCATTGGTTTGACAGTTAATGTCAAAATCGATTCGCCATGTCGTCCTTAATTTACTTATTTACAATAAGCGGCTGTTAAAGAAGAAAAAAAGGATTTTGTTTGGTGTTAAATAAAATTTATTGCCAGAATTATTCTATTGTAGTCTCCTAAGTCTCGTAAGTAAGAACTAGAAAAATCATAAAAATATTATAACCATTATGCTGTTTAAAGTAAAGCCAACCTAAAAAATCAAAATTTTGGGTGGGATAAAGTATCTCATGAAAACACCGAAAGAGGTGTTATAATAAAGTCATTATGAACGCAAAATAGATAAAATATTTTTTTTAAATTCTGGCAAACCTTAAGAAATGACAAAAGGTTTTAGCAAAATCTTTTCTAGAATTTATACAGAGAGCTTCAAAAAATGACTAATAACTTTTGGAGTTCTTCTATATTAATCATAGAAAGCCATGGAAATGACATATGCCAATTTTTTTAAAGATAGAGCTTCTCGAGTACTACAAACCGAAAACATAATTTAAATAAATACCGATACTTTTTTTCCTAATTTCATCACTGTTACAGAAGGGAAATATCTCCAAATACGAAATAAAAAATTTCACCGACAAACTGGAAGGCACGTACGCTTGTTCAGTAAACGACACTATAATCAAAGTGTTTTCGGTGTACGCTGGTGTTCTGCCCCATTTTACGAACAAAAAATTGATCAAACTGAACGTTAAACCGGCGGGAAGTACTGTGACGTTTAGGTGCAAGGCGGAAGGGATACCATCTCCGAAAATATCCTGGTATAAATATGATAACCCAAAAATCGTCAGAAAACTGGGTAATTTCAAAGTCGGGAATTACCATGCCACCCTCGAGGATTTAATTGTAGATGACAATGGAAATTATACTTGCAAAGTGTGCAACGTTCTGGGTTGCATAAATTTCACCTTCGTATTGGAAGTTATAGGTAATTCATTTTATTTAACTATTTTACTTAAATCCAAAGTGTATTATTAATGTATACTTTGGATGAAACGAAAGTGTGCAAATTTTAAAATAATTATTCATGAAGCGCGTTACCCATCCAAACCGATTATAAAGGACGATTATCCTCGGAATATAACAGTATTAGAAAATGCAACTGCTGTATTTGAATGTCCGCAATTGATTTCCGACATAGAACCGTATGTCGAATGGTACAAATTAAATTGTAGCGATGGAAATTGCACAACAGGACAAAAACTACAGGTATTCACACTGAAAAGGTGGCGGTGACGCTAAACATTTTCCAAAGGGTTCCAATATTTTTAATGCTGTCACTAATCTTACAATAAATGTTTTTAATAAAATGGTGAAGGTTTATTATATATTTATTTATGTCTCTTTTTAAATAATCTAAGGTGTTGGCTATATCGGTTGTGTTAATTTCTAGAACGGTACCACAACAAACCCATTATAAAAAAAGAACTCGAAAACGTAACCGTGGTATCAGGTGAAACAGTTAAATTGCATTGCCCAGTCATATCAGATCTGCACCCTCACATTGAGTGGACCTATTCTAAGTATAGTGAAGGAAATTCCTCGGTAAAAGTTAGTACAATTACTTATAATTTAAGCATGCTACTGCATGGATGTTTATTTGTTCCTAACTGAGTATACTTTAGTTGTTTGGCATTAATGTTACAGCAATTACACAGGTCTACACAATTGAAAATCTAATTCAAAATTAATTTTTTTCTTCTCCAAGAAATTGTTTATGAACGAAACTATGGAGCCTCCACAAAGAGTACGAACGCCTTGGATACAAATGGTTTCCCAAAATAAGAGGGCGCTTGTGTATCGTTTGTACCGAAACAGTAGTCGTCAGTACAATATGTAATTTGTGCGATTTAATAATGAGGTTCTGTAAATTCTCCCTATTGAGTTCGTACTCCTTGTGTAGGCTTCATGATCGAAACGATGGATTAAACCAGCAAGTCTTCTTGGTCCAAAAACATCAGAAAGAAAAAATAGGTTATGATTTGGGTCATTTTCAAAATTCTTGTACATTTAAAGAAGAAAAAGTAAAAACAAAAACTACAAACCTGTTTTTTTCAAATTTTGTTTATTTAAGGGTGTTATTTAACACCTAAAAATGGGCAGTTGGATTTTTTTCAATAAACCCCTGAATAAATATTGTCCCCTAGGTCACATAACTTTCCCCTGGGTCACACAATATGTGATCCAGGGGAAAAAATGTATGTTTTTAGAACAAACCTCTTTACGGTTTTAAAGAAAAAAAATTGTATTTTTGCCCTTAAAACCATTACTAGGATACTTACTTTTGAGAATCAAACAAAGTCCAACTGGTACCTTTACTACTTTTTATTACTGTGACACAGGAGAATGCACAGTTTTGCCACGCTGGTATAAAAAATACAAAAAATCGTGTTGTGACTTTATGATAAGTCAAAACACCATTTCCTACTACCACAAGGGGGCAGCACCAAAATATGTGCGCTCAATTCAAAAGGTCATTTATAAAAGCTGTGACCCAGGAGACGTGACCTATGGGACCAAAATTAAGGGAAAGTATTTTTAAATATTATTTTTCTGGAATATTTGGAATATATTCTCAACTATTTGAAAAAAGGAGGATGTTATTTTACTCCAAGATGTTTAAATAGCTTTAAGTAGTGAATATTATTGCAAGTGGGACAGCTACTTTTCTGTACTGTTGAAGAAAGTTTAATTTTTTATTATAGGGTTAAATTTAAAATTTTACAATTTTGCTAATACGTATATGGTTGCTAAAAACACTTAAACCAATTGATTTCGCTTAGTAGTTTCAAATGGCGTTAAACTCAATTTTTTTATAAAATAAAAAGTTTGTGGACAGCGAATGTACAAGAAATTTAAAAATGACCCATGTAATCTGGTTTCTGTGTAAACATTTTGCAGACCTGTGCTATTAATAATAATTAATTCAATATAATTAATAACTTGTTTCCCTAGACTAATGAAAATGCGCAGCGTCCAGAATATTTAGAAATAGTTAATGTTACTCATGAACACGAAGGCTGGTACACATGTCACGCTTCGAATAGTTTAGGAAACACCCATAGCGAAGCCTATTTATCAGTAGTAGACTCTCTCGAAATAGGTAATAATATTAATCTATTTTTAATTAATTTCAAATTAAAATAACGTACATTTTAGATGAAGAATCGCCGTTTTACGCGTCAAAATTCGCATTCATATCGATTATGATAATAATAGCATCATTTTTCGTGATCGTAACAACTCTTGTGTTCTACATAAGCAAAAAACGAGCCAATATCGAGAAATTGGCACTGAAACGAGAAAGAATCACCAAGAAAATCATAATCGAGAAAAATAACTCGTTGGAGGAGAATATAGCCGGACCTTTGCGAATGCCGGTGGTAAAAATAGAAAAACAAAAAACCTTGTCGGCTGTCACAGAGGAAGATCCAATGATATCGGAGTACGAGTTGCCCACAGACTCCGATTGGGAAATTCCAAGGCACAAGTTGAAATTGGGCAAGAGCCTAGGCGAAGGGGCCTTCGGCAGGGTTGTCAGGGCCGAAGTGACGGATCCGCCAAAGAACGGCCCCACGATTGTAGCAGTAAAAATGCTCAAAGGTATGTGTGTGAAACTTTGCCTTTAATTGCAGATGTAATTTTGATTGTTCTTTAGGAAGCCATTCCGACAGCGAAATGATGGATTTAGTATCAGAAATGGAGTTGATGAAAATGATAGGAAAGCACATAAACATCATAAATTTGTTGGGGTGTTGTACGCAGGGCGGGCCTTTGTACGTGGTCTGCGAGTTCGCGCCCCATGGCAATTTAAGGGACTTTTTGAGAAGCCACCGATCGGCTGGCTACGAATTGGCCGTCGGATCCGACGAAAAAGAGAAGGAGACTCTCACGCAAAAGGATCTTGTCTCTTTTGCCTATCAGGTTGCCCGCGGTATGGAGTATCTCTCTTCCAGAAGGGTACGTATTTTTATTAAATCCTACTGGATACAATAAGCACGTAGACAAAGTGACTTCCCTTCTTTAATTAATTTGATTGAATTTAATACGTCTTTGTTCTGACGACTTGTCATTGTTATTTTATTACATTCATCCAATGAATCTTTTTATCTTGCTGTCCCACTTAAATATTGTAACGTTTTTACTGTTCGCAGTGTGAATTAAAACACGCACTGGTTTATTAACGAACTAAACACTTAACTACTAATTATTTATATATCACTACTGTACAAGAGTCTATTTACTTGCACGTACATTTATTTATTTCGTCGCGAGTACCAAAGCTTGACTGACTGCTCCATGCTGCGCCTTCTCGAACATTCCAGCGAGCTCCACATCACTCTCGATGTTCGAGATGCAGATGGGTACTCGCTACAATATATAATATTTGTTTTAGTGTATTCACAGAGACTTGGCAGCTAGGAACGTTTTGGTTAGCGATGATTATGTTTTGAAAATAGCAGATTTCGGATTAGCTCGCGATATTCACTGCAACGATTACTACAGGAAAACCACAGATGGCAGGCTACCAGTAAAATGGATGGCTCCTGAAGCTCTTTTCCACAGGGTTTACACCACGCAATCAGACGTCTGGTCATACGGCATCCTATTGTGGGAAATTATGACTCTTGGAGGTAATATTGAAGGATGTACAAAATCGTATCATCATTTAACTGGATTATTTTACTATAGGTACTCCTTATCCATCGGTTCCAAACGTGGACACGCTGTTCCAGCTGCTGAGGAACGGCAGGCGAATGGAGAAACCTCCTTGTTGCTCGTTGGAGATCTACATGCTGATGAGAGACTGTTGGAGTTATTATCCCACGGAAAGGCCGGAGTTCTCGGAGTTGGTCGAAGACCTGGATAGAATTCTGACGATAACGGCGAACGAGGAGTACTTGGATTTGGGTCTCCCTCAGCTGGACACGCCGCCTTCAAGTGAGGACGAAGAATCGATACAGGACGAAGACTTTCCTCTACCGCAAGTCAGATAACTAGTCAGGCCACTATCGTAGCGAGTTATTTTTTATTTTCATACTCCATTTAAGACATTGTAAAAATTGCTAAATTACCATGGTTACTTGTAAATAAACTAAATTATTCCTTTGGACATTGTAAATAATTGGTCATTATAAATATTTAGCTGTATGTGTTATTAAGTATTATTGTTGTAAGTACTAATTGCATTTTGGTGGTAGGGTAGCTGCAATTATCTGGCAAATGTACAAATACAAAATAGATATAAATGAAGAGGTTATTTTATATATCATATAATTATACTTGATTATAACAAATCTACAGAACTGATCTCGATTTTATCACATTTATACATACGATGCATGTAAAATAACCTAAGCTCATTCAATTTTCTTGTTATATATTAAAAGTTTCTTATTGTGAGCTTAAGCTATAAATATTATGTGCAAATATATATACAACCAAATATATAATATTGTGACGTGACCCGTAGATTAATTAATTTAAGACTGTAAATTGTAATAATTAAATTTTTGTCGTAATAAGTTTTTCTTTTTTTTACCCTAAATTTTTATATAATAAGCAGGAATTTTTCATTTAGAACTTTATTGAGTATACTAACGTATTATCTATTATTATTATTTTATTTTGTTTCATCAATTATTACCAAAATTATAAATTTTAAAGTTTGATTTTATAAAATACATGTTTTTTCCATTAAAAACTTTGACTGCTGTGGTTAAAAACTGAAACTTGGCAGGCATTTTTTTAAATTTATTTTAAACTAATTAAGGACTTTTGTAAAAAAAATTGGAACATACCCCAAATATATGTATTAGGGTGTTTCAAAATAAGGCAATATTTTTCTTTTTTCAAATTCATGTGAAATTCTCGTCACTTATGCAAAAAAAATCTTACTTTTAAAAAACTGTTTTGAAGCGAAGTATAAAATTTTATTTGCAGTCAAAAGCTGAATCATGAAATTAAGAATATCATAACAGTTAAGCTATTTTAGTTTAAATTCAGAGATTAATTGAGTATTGAAGAATCTTGGTACGTTTTTTATAGAGCTTCAAGTTTCCTGCAAAATTGTCCCTAAACTTTCTTCCTACAGTAAATACTATAATAATATATTATGCATAATCATGAAAATAGGATTTTAGACACATAACTTTTGAACAGTAGGTGATAAAAAAAATGTTTAAAACAAATTTGTAGAGCATTAAAAGATCTTTAAAATTGCTAATTAACTTTTTCTTCTACGATTAGTACTTTAGCCGCTAAATGTAAAAATATCAATTTTTTTAAGAATTTATACATTTCAACGTCAATAAAAAAGAAAGAGTTGAATCTACAAACTGGCCTCTATAAGATTCTTTGTAGGTAATTTAATGCTAAAAAAGGACCAGTGATTTTTTATCAAAAAAAGTCCTACATAGTAAGCAGGCGAAATAAATCTTAAAAAACTATTTTTTCATGTTAAATCAATAGGAAAATTTTAAATTCAGTGATGAACCTTTTAAAATTAATATTACAGACTAAATTTTTGTAGATAATTTAATGCTAAAAATAGACCAGTGATTGTTTATCAAAAAAAAAAGTTCTACATAAAGAAAGAGTTGAATCTACAAACTGGACTCTATAAGATTCTTTGTAGATAATTTAATGCTAAAAAAGGACCAGTGATTTTTTATCAAAAAAAAAGTCCTACATAGTAAGCAGGCGAAATAAATCTTAAAAACCTATTTTTTCATGTTAAATCAATAGGAAAATTTTAAATTCAGTGATGAACCTTTTAAAATTAATATTACATATTACATATTTGTAGATAATTTAATGCTAAAAATGGACCAGTGATTGTTTATCAAAAAAAAAAAGTTCTACATAGCATGCAGGCGAAATAAATCTTAAAAAACTATTTTTCCATGTTAAATCAATGGAAAAACTTTAAATTCGATGATGTACCTTTTAAAATTAATATTAAGAAATAATTTTTTTTTCAGCATAAGTGACAAGAATTTTACATGAATTTGAAAAAAGAAAAATATTGCCTTATTTTGAAACACCCTAATAAGTATAAATATTTATGTCGAGTATTTTTTATTGATTATGTGTGTATAGAGATTACGCAATATTAATAATAATGAGGTAATCTGTAAACCCTAGCTTAAATATAGGCAATGGGGTATTATCCCTTTCACCCTTGTTTAAATTATTACCTAGATAACTATAGTAAAATCATGAACAAAGACGTAAAAAGTATTTATTTGGACTTTGGACATACGCATAACGTTCTGTTAAACGCCTTTTCGGGAGACAAGGGCCATTAATTATTTAAATTAAGGGTTAAACGAAAAGCAAAGCATTATATAGAAGTAGTAAGTAATAAATTGAGCACGGAAAGGCACGCTACAGCCACTGTTCCTGGCTTAAAGACTTTCTTAATTAATTATAGACAAATTGCGACCAATCATTCCAAGTAATTAGTAAAGTAATTTAACTAATCTAGCAAAGGTTTGCCTTAATTATTCAATAAATTACAATTTTTATTACTTATACATAATAAAGCAAGACGGCAAATTTAAAATAATTCCAAATGTGCCAAAAGTGGCCGTAACAGTTTCAGTAACAATTTGCTCTTCAGTTTTATGACGCAATCACATATGAGCTGTAAAACTATACATGCTGAGATCGTCATTTTTTTCAGGTAAGGGGATAAAACAGAATATGGGAGAAATGCTATCCAAACTGAAAATACAGTCCGAAATGTGTGACCGTCATACAAACGATCAGACAGAAACAATGTGGAAAGGATAACACTATCATATTTGCTTTAAATATAAAATAGTCGCCAAAGTCTTATTTAAAAAAATGTTCACTTGATTAAACATGCTTTTATTATACGTTGCTTTAAAAACGTACCCGTAATTTTTTATAAAAAAAAACATGCAATATTCTTACTATACATATTACTGATATTTTATCTGATTTTATCACACAACTGTCAAGCAGTTTTAACCTCACTTTTTTCCAATTTTATCCCAAAGATTATTTTGCCATTAACACCCTGTATAGTAAATGTAAAGCTGGTATCTTTGAAGATCATTGTGGAATGGGCGGCCATTTCAATCGTTTGTCTAATTCAATGACAGGGCTTTTGTCGAGCATACCTAATGAACTTTGGGTTAGGTACAAAGTTTACAGGCACGGCCGTATGTATAGAAGGCGGTACACATGCACGGTCATACAAACACAAACCTAACGATGGGAATTGGCAATAACATGACCTAACCAGGCCTGCTACGCGCATTTGACATTATTCTTACTTAATCCTTTGTTTCAGTGTATTTGTTCTCTTCCAATTAGGTATACTATAAATATCACATTATTTTGGTTGTGAAGAACAGTGGCGGCTGGTGACATATTAAATTGGGGGGGGGCAGAAATTTATATACATGCAAAAATTGGATAATAAACTTATCGATGTATGTAAGATAAACCCATATTTAAATTTACACAAGTAATTATATAATTTACGGTATTTATCTCAAAACAAAGTAAACTGAATACATCGGCAACGCGCTGACGGGCATCTTACTATTTCGCACGATTATGATGGCTGACGCCTATTGAACAGATATAACTGTTGTAACTATCCATCCTAAAAAAGTTTACCTGTATTAACCGTCCTAAAGTTAATATTGAGAATTACATTCAAAAAGTTTGTTAGGGTGTAACATTACAAATAAATTAATTGGTGAAGAAATAGGTAATCCGTTATCTTGCTCACCTTATTGTTTTCTACTAGTTAAACTCGTTCATTTGATAACAAGGGGGTTAGGAAGAAAAAGGTAATTCGCCATCTTGAAGCGGCGGCCATTTTGAATAAATTACAATATTGCGTACTAGATTGTATTGTCATCAGCACCAAAAGTGTGTTCAAAATTTTAGGTTAAAATCGACTTTCTAGATTTGTGGACAATTTAAATAATTATTTTGCTAAAATTAATTAATATCCCGGCGCATTCGCCATTTTTGCAACTTGTTTGAAATTTTATTTTATCTGAATTTTAATTTTAAGGTAAAGGCTTTTTAATTAGTGTTTGTATGTCCTAGTTTAGTTTAATTACCACAGAAGTGGCTGAAAATCCCGAAATAGTTTGAAATTTGCATAGAAGTCCAAGCTAAGCACCTATTAGACTAAATATGATTTACATGCTCGTTTTATGTAACAACAACGACAACAAGAAGGTCTTTAACGAAAGGAAAATATGTTTAATAAAAGAAAACCCGTTAAAGTGTGAAATATGTTAACTTGTTTTACCATCTGTGAGTAGCATTAACAATGGTTATATTTTTCATACGACATTGTGATCCTGTATCGTTTTAATAAACGGCTTTCCTTAATCACCATAAATAAAATCAAAGGTTTAAATCCGTCTTCATTATGCATAATATTTATTGCACCATAAAGTAAAAAAACTAGCACGCGATTAACTAATTCGAAAGCAATAAATAATTTTTAACAATGTATTAAATTAAAAAATACATTTTCAGAATAAGCCAGCGTGTTAGGTAGGTAGATGGTAGAAACTGTATGATTTTTATTATCAAAGTTAAAAGTAGCAATATACTTTTCATGGAGTATTTACGTTTTGTTACAGACTGAAATTTCTCACGTATATCGTTTACAAGAAGACAAGTGCTATGTTCCCAGTTTAATATATGGCCAACACGTATACACCGGTGTGTCTTATGAATTATGACCTTATAAAATTTAACACTTAATATAACCCCCTTACAAACCATGACGACCCAAACGAAGTTAGCAATTCAGACTCGTAATACGCAGTTTTGGGCACGGCACCCTTGTTTACAATATGTCCAAAAATTTTGTAATAAAACAAAATTAATTATTTAAATTGGTCAGCAGTCATTTTATTTTTTGTGCCTTCAGCTATTTTGGTTCTCGAGATGCTTTCAAATAGTGCTTTCGGGCCCATAACCTTACTTTCGGGAGCCCCAGGAGTCTTATTAGGATGGTGCTGGTGCTGGTGCATTCGCCATTTTTGAAATTATACCATGGGACTCTTGCCCACTTCCGGTGCAGTAGGCACCCGTGTAAAGCAATTTAAAAGGTTAAAGGTAAAAATATAAAGTGTAAAAGGAGAGTAATACATGAAGTGCAAATAGGTTGGTTGTAAAACAATGTTAAAATTTGAAAGACGAGTTACAAGAGAGTTTTGAATAATGTAAAAATTAAAACATTTAATTCCCAGCTCGGCTGAATACTGTCGCCTGTTATACCCTATAAATATTTAAGTGCTAAAACAAAAGTTGGTAGTCGATGCCTTGTGGTTTTAAAATATTAAATATTAATTGAAGATTTTCAAATATTTCGGGCTGTATTCTGCATTTCTATTAGTTTTGTATGTAAATCAATTCGGTGTTTCCTGATTTGAGATACGAAATTTGCGTAGATTCAATTAACAATCAAATCCTTTAGGACAATTATATTACGTGAATAGCTAATTGA